ATTACAATATACAGTAAGTTGCATTGAATATACTATAAGTATAAATACTTATAGGTTGTGAGTGTACAGACTATGAACAGGTTATAAATATGAAGGGATATAAACAAACTATATAAAAGAAAAAATATATATAAGTATCTGAGTACTTATGAACAATAGGTAGTATATTATGTGTACAGTTTGTACAGTAGTGGGCTAATGGATGAAAGTTATACTGAAATACTGGGGAAACTGGAAACAAAAGATAAACAGACTCAGAAACTAAATAAAAATAATCACAAGTAGACACAAAACACACAGATATGACAACAGTGAAACAGCTGCAACTAAACAGTTTTAGTTGTCTTGTCTTCACATAGAATGTGGTTTCAGGCTAAAATTTTGACATCAATGGCAGCGCGTGATATGCATTCTTTAGGAAACATTATGTCTACTTCTGCCATTTCAGCTTTTATTTCAATGAAAAAATGTTTAAAAATAAATTTGTTTTTTATTTTCTCTCCCTAGGATCTTTGGGTTTCCTGTCCACTACACTGATGTGTCCAACATGGGTCGTGGTGCCAGACAGAGACTCCTGGGCCGGTCCTGGAGCGTCCCTGTTATCAGGCACCTGTTTGCACCTCTCAAAGACTATTTTGCCTGTGATTAATAACCACTCAACACCAGTTTAAAAAAAAAAAAAACCATACATTCTGGTATGATGACTCCAAAAATCCCAGCTGCTAGTCTGATTTTTTCATTTTATTTTTTTTCTGGAGCAGGAAGGTTCTTGTCCTGTCAGCAGAGAATCAGTTCTCTAAAAGGTGTGGAACTACAAAGTAAATACTGTTTTTTAACCTTAGAGCCCAATAATTCCCACTAACACAGAGAAAAATGTGTGGGTTTATTCTTGCACAGAGTCAAGGATCATTACTGTTATTGAAGATTAGTTTGAGTGGAAACTAGAAGAAGATTGTTCTTCAAGGAGGCTGCAAACGGACCGTGACAAGGTTTCATTTAGTTTGAAACTAAGGCCCGGTTTGAAGCTGGCAGCCCATTCAGATAGTAACAATTGACTATTTTTAAATGTTTGTTTAGAGGCTAGGTGTTTGACAGGAAGGCTACTAAGACCACCTGTAAAAGTAAAAGAAAAACACATTTTGCTCCAATGTTGTTTGTCAACATAAACAACCATAACAGACCAAAGCAACAGTCGTACTGACCATGTGCAATAATTATATTTGAGGTTTAAACAGATGGAAGTGAAAACCACAGGAAGTAAAGTCTGCTAGGTAATTCTGGGAAAAAATAAACTTCCTCAGATAAGCAAAAGAAGAGGGCATTTTTATTACTTTACTTCTTCAGTATCTTTTGTTTGAGACCCATTCCCAGCATCTAAACCAGTCCACATCTCCAATAAGGGTCTTATTTGACCAGTTTTAATATTGCATCAGTTTGAATCATCACAAACTCAAAGGTTGTTGATCATCGAGTCCATTAAAAGAAAAGTTTTACTCAGAAAGAAAAAAACAAGGTTTATCCCAGAACTCAAGTACACACACTTTGATTTTTATAAAAACTGATTGTAACTGTAAACTGATGTGTAGACTTCTTTAAGGCTAGCTTGTTTTAAGAGGCAGAAGGATGAGCCTTCAATATTTTATAAGACTAAACACATACATTCTTCTATGATGATGCGTTAGGGCAACTCAGGAAAAAAACTGAGAAGGATCTTTTTATTTTTTGTTATTTTTTGCGATTCAAATTTTTTAAATAAAGTCAAGATGTTTGGGCGGCATGATGGCTCAGTTGGTAGAGCTGCTGCCTCTCAGGGAAGAGGTTGCCAGATCGAATCCCGGTCTGGGGACCCTTCTGTGTGGAGTTTGCATGTTCTCTCCGTGCATGTATGGGTTTTGTCTGGTACTCCAGTTTCCTCCCACAGACTAAAAATATGCATGTTAGGCTGATTGGTAACTCTAAATTGTCTCTAGGTGTGAGTGAGAGAGTGAACCATTGTTTGTCTTGTTTGTCTCTATGTGTCCCTGTGATGGACTGGAGACCTGTCCAGGGTGTCCCCCCCCCCCAGCACAGTGATGGCTGGATATGAGCAGCAGTGACCCCCACGATCTGAAAAGGTAGAAACAGTTAAAGATAATGGATGTAAGGCTGGACAGATGTTGAGAAAAATTTGAGCTTGTGTTTTGAGACTCAACCAGAAGAGAAGTACCTCTCTGTGCCCTCCAACCAAAACCATATCAAATATAACCAAAAAAAAAAAAAAAAAAAACAGTTCAGTGTGCTTATTACTGCTGCAGCAGCTTCACCCACAACAGCAGAACTCACAGACTGTCCTTCAGTCTTTCACAGTAAGAGTCTCAATTATAGACCAAAACTCTCAATTCAAATACTGGATCTAATGCAAGATCCCTGGAGTATAAGCTGAAAATAGACCTGAGGCTTGTCCCAGGACCAGTTTTAATTCCTGTCTGCTCTGTAAACAATCAGGATCTTTCCTCGTTAAAATTAAAATATACACTTTTGACCTTTTTTATTTGTAGATTCAGCTCATTTTGTATGTTTATTTTTCTATTACGTGGTTACAATTAGTTATTTCATCCTTGAAAGTTTATGCAGCACAATGATGGGGTGTGCGGGGGAGTAGGCAGGGCTTAAAGCTCCACATCTTTAGTGCACAGACTCCGGTTTATAAAATACCACTGCCATAAACCAGGTCCTGCTGGCTGCAGCTGTGAGCAGGAGCAAACTGCAGTGACACATACTCTGGGGTTATTTTATGTCAAAGAAGTATTCACTGTGTTGACCTCAAAAACTCTCAAATCATCAGATTCAATTCAAATAACTTACATTATGTTTATTCTTATTGTGTGCTTGTAAAATTTAGACTAAAGCCTAACTTGACTGATGGAGAGCTGCACTGTGTTGGACATCAATCGACCTCATTTTGTGTGGCCAGTTTTTGAAAATCATGGTCTATTTTTTTGTGTGCATGTCTTGTCAATCTGTATTCCAGATTATGCACATCATTTTATTGGCCCTTACCGCCCACATTGTACCCACCTCGGCCCATTTGGCAGCCCATCACCTGCCGCTGCGTTTATGTTTTAATCTGCTGGAGGGCACTGTAGAAATGACCATAGACAGATTTGGGCCGTTTTCTTTAGATATAAATGTTGTCTAGTTTTTAGACGTGAACATTCAGGACTGCAGCTTCCAATGTTTTCTGTCCCAAGGAGAGCTCCTGTACCCGTGTCAGTCTCCTGTGATGGACATGTATACAGAGACTGCAACTGTTTTCAGTGAAAAGTTGTAATATAACGTTTTTGAACATGTTCAAAACTCAAGTGACAAGATTGTGAGCATCAGAAAAACCCTGTGGTACGACTTTAGACCAGCCACCATTTGCATCTCTCTTTTTTTTTTTCTTTTTCTTTAAACTTTCTCTCAACGTTTCCATTTCATTCTTGAAAAAAACAACTTCCTCCTCAATGTCTGAATCTCCTTAGGTTCCCACTGAACCTTCAGGGAGGGTTCTGGAAAGCAGTGAATCGTGTGTAAGACAGAACCCATGAGTTCTTCTGTAGTTCTGTAAAGTTCCCAGCTAAACCCTGAAGGCTTTTCTACCTCTTCCAAATCAAATAGTCTTCATCCAGAGCTTTAGATATTTATTACTGTTCCTGTTTAGTTCAGCTATGAATCCAAATGTTATTTGTTAGAAAAGAGAGGGGGGAAAATACAGAGTTACACTAAAACCGTGTTCATGCAGCAGAAAGACAAACTGCAAGTTTACTGAAACAAATAAAGGCCCGCACCTCCTTTCACAGCCACTCCTGGTTTTCATTTAAAAAAACAAACAAAAAACACAGGTTGTTAAAAACTAGAGGTTTTAGTTCTCACAGGGTCTCACATATTTCACAACGTCTTGTTCTCCTCATCGGACACGTCTTTCTCCTCCCAGCTGAACAGGGTGGTTTAGCTCTGGAGCTCCTTGTTGTGAGTCTAACTAGTTGTGTGAAATGTAACATGTCGCTGGAGGACTTTCAGCTGATGTTGACTGAGTCAGGAGAAAGGCATTATGTCATTGTTTTGTTATGTTATGTTAAAAAAGATTTGAAAGTTTTACAGTAAGACATTTTCGGCTAACCCTAAACATTCTGTGGAAAAATCTGTTAAAGTGTAAAAATGACCTTTATGTTAAAAAAATATATGAAACTGGTGGTCCTGACCTGTTTGAACTCTGGCTGATGGTTCTGCTGTGAGTTCTGTCTGAGCTGTGGATCTTCAGAGGACTGGGTCTCCTCAGCTGTTGCACCAAAAGTCCTGACTCTTGACGTGCTGCTCCTAAAGCTCACAGAGCAGCTACTGACGAGAGCCCTCAGGAGTGGTCTGGAAATCCAGCTTCAACTTTAATTCTCAACATTTCAATTTAAATCTTGAAACTCAGAAACAACCAAAACATTTTTTTCTTCTGGGCTTCATATTCTGAACAGAGAGTTCTGCAGGGCTTGTTGATCACTAAACTACGTTTCAGGTTGAACCAGCAATCCTCAAGCCTTCTTTAAAAACTTTTTAAAATATTTTTTTTACTTATTTTAAATTAATATTTTGTATTGTCTTTCCTCCAAGTGTGACAATCCAATCATTTTTTGTTTTTTAGACAGATTTTTGAAGCATAATAAAACTGCATACACGCTTTAATACTACTGAGCTGTTTCAGTATTTAGCTTGAAATATAAAAGTATTTTTTTGTAGCGGTGTTTTGTTTTACATTTTGCATTATCTTTATATTCTCAACATGCCATATATTGTGCTTTACTTATTTTACGTTGTAGTGTTTTAGATCATATTGGAAGTTCTTTAAAGATTTGATCTCATGCGTATGTGTGTGTTCAGTCTGAACCATGTCTGTTAATTCTTTGTTTTCTTTATAACATTACGTTTTTGTACCATAGGATAACGTTCAACTATAGGTTTCTGTATACCTTTTTTTTGTATTAATCTCATCTTCAAAAGTAGCTCAGAGAAAATATTCTGATCTATTTTTATAGTTTGAATTGTTAGAGGAAAACAAACATCTGTGTACATTTTGTTTGAGTGTTTCTTGTAGTGACTTTATATAATTTTTATACAATAAAAGCAGCTTTGCTGCAAAAAATACAAGTATGATCTGCGTGTCAAATGCAGTTCTTGTTTTGTTTTTTCTGTGCTCTAAATTTTTAAGTTGGCTCCTCTGGTGATGCTGACTCTCTTCTTAAATAGCTGCATAGATTCTTGTAGTCGATGTGAGTGAGGGATGAAGAAGGGTGATATTTTCTCCTCACTTTACTACATTTATTTCAGTTTACTGACTAATAGCTTAATTAATGTAATCAACCTTTAAATGGTAAATGGACGTATGTACTTATAGAAGCACTTTACACTACAGTCTGTGTCCTCATTTACCTCCACACACACATTCATACAGCAATTCAATTCAGTTTATTTAAATAGCACCAAATCACAACAGAAGTTGTCTCAGGGCACTGAACAAAAACTTTCCAGCAGACTCGTTGAATCTTCACTTCATCTCAGTCTCCCATCCTGAGCAAGAACAAAGGCAACAGTGGAAAGGAAAAACTCGTTTTTAACAGGAAGAAACCAGCAGAACCAGGCTCAGGACGAGCAGCCATCTGCTTCGACCGGTTGGGAACGGGAAGGAGAAACAAACATAATGGCAGGACTAGAAGTAGGTGCATCTACTATATCTTTACAAAGCTAATCCGAACAAATCCTTCCAGTGGAGATTTTAGCCTTTTTGTAGGTGCTCAGACATCCATTAATTTGAACTCAGCACCACTGTAACGAAACAATCATTAGGATTTTGTAAGGAAACTCAGTTCTCAAATCTTAGATTCACTGAACTATTTAATAAATTTGAGCTAAATATGGAATAAATGACACCCTTAAACGAGCCAGTAAAATCTTTTTCTTTTTTTGTACGAGTCTGATTCTCGCTGCCACCTGTCAATCAATCCAGTAGGCTCGTCAGAAACTGACCAATCAGCGATCTCAATTTGTCCCGAAGGTAAACGCCCCTTACCTGCAGGAGCTGCACCTCCTTATCCTCTGACAACATTGTCGGGGTTTTTCATTATGAACACTTTGCGATCCCAGAGGGATTTCGTGAAAAATCATCAGAAATAAATGGTTAAACTTTGTCGGAGAAATGTAATTCAGACAGCGTTATCCTGAGTGTTTAGAAGGTGGATACAGTTTATTCTATTTCCCATACCTTAACAGAGTCTGGATAAATACAGTGATAAACAGGAAGTGTACACGTTCGTATGAAAGTGACTGCACGTAGGTTAAATCCTCCATTTTCTGTCATTGACATTGCTTAATGGGATTTTTTTGCAGTAGTAGTTTTTTTTTTTCATTTTGTCAGACAAAAAAAAAAAAAAACTACTACTACAAAAAAAATCCTTCCTCCATTGTAACTCCTACTCACTTGAATATCTTGCACCCCTCAGTGATCAGCGTACCAAGCGCTGCACGAACCCAGACATAGAAATTTACATTGAGCCCTGAATGCAGCACAAGCTGAATGGTTGTTTTTCTCACGTGACAGGAAGTATTTGTTGATACTATGATACTCGGAAGTGTGAAGCGTTGACACTCTTAACTGGATAAAAGCAGTCGTCCTTGGATTTAGAGAGTTTTTTTTTCTGTTCGTAAGAATTAAGTCGGTTGAGTTTGTCAAAGTTTCACCCACGCAGACATTGATATACTGCTTTTGACCTAAAGCTCTGACACGCATGCTAATTTTAGCTAAGCAGCTTGCTAACTGGACCACAACCTTGTCCTGTCCGATCTGTCAGCAAACTCGTAGAGTTGTGTGCTGTAAAGTTTAATTGTTTTTAACACTGCCTCTCCTTTGAGTCACTAAATATTGTGTAGTTATTAGTGACAGCTGACGCAGTTCAGGCCAGTCGGCACTGTGTTTATCTCGCCAGAGGCGGGTTGATGAGACATGATTGGCAGCTATCAGTAGCGTTAGCCTCGTCTGGACAGACTTGGAACCCGGTCGATAAGACGACTGTCGTCACTGGCGGTAAGTCAGAACCTTCACTGCTGCTTTTCAACTTTCAAGCTTAATCCAATCAGTGTGCTCATGTGATATAAAACTTTGAATATCTTAAATGATCTGGCATTTATTTTGCACTGGCTATATTAAAAATCCCGGACAGCGATGTACCGGTTGAATCAATGACTGTTGCTTTAGTTTACTTTTATCATTTATGGTTAGCTGCTATTATTGCTCAAAGGTAAGGGCAGAACGTTAAAATGTCTATGACGTCAAATTTTTGTAATAAATATGAATGCCTTCTTGGAAAGATTTATAATGTTATAACATTATTATCGTATTGCGTTAAAAATTCTACACTGCTGAGGTAAAACTGAGATATTCTTATGCACAGTAACAGGAAGTGATGTCAAAGGGGAATGCCTGCAGGTGAACAACCAAAGCATTGCTAATTTGAAATACCCTCTGTCAGTATTAATTTATTGGAAAAATATACCCTTGAATAATACCCTAGAAACAATACAGACTTGTTTTAACTGGCCGTAAGGTAGTGCTCTGAAATATAAATGAAGTTCAGACAATTGTTGTTAAAACTAAAAAAATAGGTAAAATCAGTTTCTCATGCAAGTATCGGCCGATTTCCCCAAATTAAGGAAATCGGGGCTGATTTATCAGTGCACCCCTAGAAAACAGGGTTGCCATGTCAAAATCCGAGATGGCTGCCACCGTATACAGTACTTATACGTAAACTGGCCACCCCTATCATTTGAGAAAACTGTGCTTTCTAGTTTTTATCTTGCTTAAAAGTATAATTTCTAGGGGCACTAGCAAGCCAACATGAAGTAAAGATAGATATTTCAGAGCTAGATAGACATTTTAGCCTCTATACAAGGAGAAATTTCCAAAATTATAAGAGAGAAAATGTAATAATAATAATAAAATGTATTTACATAGCACCTTCCAACAATGCCTTGCTTTGACCAAAGTGCTTTTACAAGATGAAACAAATAAAAACAGGGCAAATGTGAAGTGCAATGTCAGAAGAGTTCATCACGGTACTCTCAGGTCTGACATTAATGCAGTGAGGGCCATAATAGCCGGCAATGCCGCTGCAATACGAGCAGAAATCACCTTTATGGAGATGTACATTGAGGACATGAAAGGTGGATTGTCAGCATGGTCTGATGAGGTAAATACATTGCAGACAACTATGAATGAACTCCAGAGTGAGCTGGTGAAACTACGGGACAGCTATGCAGACTTGGAGTAGGGGTGCACCGATTGCAGTTTTCTGGCCGATCACCAATTTTGTTTTATAAGCAACACTGTCAGGTGTTATAAGGTCGCAATGCACCTTCAATTTTCCCATATTATTTTATTGAAAAACATACCCTTGAACAATATCCTAGAAACAATACAAACTTGTTTAACTGGCCATGAGGTAGTGCTCTGAAATTTTAATGAAGTTCAGACAATTGTTGTTAAGATAAAAGAAATAGGTAAAATCGGTTTCTCGTGCACGTATCGGCCGATTTCCCAAAATTAAGGAAATCAGGGCCGATTTATCAGAGCACTCCTACTTGGAAGGGAGGATGAAGCGCGGAAATATCTGTATAGTCGGTGTTGATGAGTAACTTTTAGCCCTAATGATGTCTCAGAAATTATCAAAGAAGCTGTGCGGATGGACCGGGATGTAAAAGTTGACCGTTCTCACTGAAAACTTGCACCTAAGAAACCGGAAGATAGAGATAGATGCTGCATCATTATTGCCAAGCTGTGCTATGATGGAGATACCGCTGACGTTTTAAGAGCCAAGGCTTAAACCCCACTTATCTACAATGTTAAAAGAATCACAATTTTTCCAGATTACACTACCAATGTTGCCAAAGCACGCGCCACTTTCACAGAAATACGGAGAGCCTTATGAGGATGAAGTGACGTGTTTTGAATTGCCCAGCAAGATTCAGAATCGTATAGAAAGAGAACTAAGGAGTTTTGGGACCCCCGTAAAGGCCATGGACTACATCAACTTGATATAGTCCATGGCCCCTTGGCCTTTACTGTCCCCGCTATAGCCACTGAAATTGAAATGCGAACTTTCACTTAAAGATCAACTTGGAAAAACTGGGTACTTTTTTTATATTGGAATATTATGTTTTAAATTTTTTAACTTTTCAACCACTAACTGTAAAATAAGCTATTTTACTTTTCTAATGTAGTCTGTCTCATGAAAACACATTTAATACTCTTGTATCCATTGAACCCCTGTATTATATTACAAGTTACAGCTCAAATTTTGTCATGTTCACATTTTGTATTGATATATTTTGTAGATTTCCCACATCATTCAAGTGTTTACATTTCTGTATATCTGCAGAAGTCTAAACACACTATTTCTTTATATACGTCTTCTTTTCATTGGTGATTGTACACAGCCAATCCGTGTGGCTGTGTTTGTTGCTGTTTATTATAGGGACTTAAACCCATTACCTTGCACTATGTTAGTAACATGCACTTTTAATAAATGCTGATTTTTGCATTCTGATCCTCCTGCTCCCTGAGGATCTAATAAAACTTAAAACAACAAAGCATTTGAATCTCAGTTTTGCCAAGCTTGCATTAGTGCATTAGTATTTTCTTTTATATTTCACCATTTTACTTTTCAACATTTACTTTACTCAAATGATTGGCGGTATCTGTCAGCTGGCTGGCACTGCCTCCAACACAAGTTCCTAACAATTAGAGCCTGGCTGATATATTGGCAAGTTTGATATTTTAGGGGCCCTATCCAGCAGAGGCCGCATGCGGACTACTTTCAAGTCATGACCATTCACTTTAAGTTTCACTTAGGCCTGTTGCAATAAACAATAAATCAATTAATCACATGATAAATGAAAATTATTGACCTCATTTTCATTTATCGGCTTTATCGTTTCTTCGTCTTTCGCTCTTTCTACTGAAGACACTGGATGACAAAAGACTCAACTCCGGTGCGCTTCACTGACCCCTCCCTTTCTCTTTGTGCTCTTTTCTTTAAAATCTGTTTTAACTGTCCAAAATTGCGTTTTTGGATCGTTAAAAGCAGCTACGAGCTAAGTTAACAGTGGAAGCTTAGCTTAGCTAAAACCTGTCTTGTCAGAGCTCCAAAATTCACGGTTGAAACCCGTGCCTTTGTGTAAAATGTCATTTTTCTCTGCAAAAAGAAGCCGAGAACTTGTTTACCGATTAAATTTTTTTTTTTAAATTAAAATCTTTGTGTGAAAAATGCTATGCTAAAGAGCTCAAATCACACAGAGCGTCCGCCATTTGGAGAACCGAAGAAAAGGAAAGAGAGATAGCCCATGTCACGTCAAGGGGCCTCCATTCCATTTTTCTTAGTGACACGCTGCTCAATCCCTCACTATCCGTCCTTTGGTTTAGACAGTCTTATACTGCCATCTGGTGGTCAGAAACAGTACTACACGCAAAACTAATTAACCAACATTTCATTGTCAAATTTCAAACAATGTTACAGTTTATCGCAATAATTTCTGAGACAATTAATCGCCCAGCAAAATTTGTTATCGTGACAGGCCTAGTTTCACTTTCTCTTTCTGCACAGCTGAAGCACGGAACAATACTGTGCACAGCGTATTTTGCTGAACAGAGCATGGGAAGATTATTTTAACTGATCTGTAAAATTTAAAAAATCAACAATTATAAAATTTCTTCAATCCTCCAACCCACTTGTCATTAGCTACATGCCTCTCAAGTTAGCCATCTAACATTTAGAAAATTTAGCATAGGCTATTGCCTTGTAAAACTTTAGCCAGAACAATAAATGTAACATAGAGGTAAATATATATCCGTGTTAGTAATGTTATCTTTGCTGTCCTCAATGAAATGCATTGTTTGTCTGAAATCTTTGCTTCTCTGCAAAGGAAAAAACCCTGCTGTGGTCAGTACTAATTAGACCTTCACCATATGTGACTGACTGTTTGAACAATGACCAAGGAAGAGTGTTTTAATTGTGTAATGTCAAATTTAGATAGGCAACCTCCTTCTCAAACCCCCATCTCCAGAATGGGTAAAATTAAACGTCCTATCTGTAGAAGCTGGTTTGGTGGATGTGTAGCTATACAAATTCCCAAAGGAGAGAAAATTACTTTTTACTTGAACCCACATGCATCTTATTCACAGTTTGATTACTTTTTTGCTGCCAAAGCTGAACTACACAGAATTGAAGACATCACAATATTCCCCATTACAATCTCTGATCATTCACCTGTTGTTCTGTGGTGGAATGTAGGCTTGACATCATCCTTTAAGCAACGGAGACTTAATGCCTCTCTTCTCAAGGATTTCATTTCTTTTGTTAAAACAGAATTTAAGAATTACTTGGACAAACAAAACACCTGAAACATCTCCTAGCATGTTGTGGGATTGTGCAAAGGCCAGTTTAAGAGGCAGCATCATTTCTTATGCAACTGCAAAAACAACCAAACACAAAACAAAAAAAGACAAAAGGCAGCCAAACAGAAAGAACAGAGGATAGAATCAGAACCTGAACATGAACATAAACAAGGAAGTGCACTCAGCATCTTAAATTATTTATATAACCTGCAGAGAGCTTCAAGTCTGCTGTCAGAAAAGATTGAAGGGAAACCTTTGCTGTGCCAAACAACTGTATTACGCAAGTGGAAATAGAGCTAGCAACTCTTGGCCTTTAGACTTAAAAAATCGCAGTCCTCAAATATAGTTCAAACGTTAAATTGGGTCATAAAACCATTATAAAATCAAGAGAAGTAACAAATATTTGCAGAAGTTGTTCACATGCATGTGAACAGCTAGTTTTGTCCGTCACCACCACACTGGTTGATCCACTATGAGAAGGGGCTATTTATAAGACTTGAGTTTGTTGCAGCTCCTCAGACTGAAGATGTCTTTTGTATAAAAGACGCAACGTTTCAACCAAGAAGAATTTGTTCTGAGGACCTGACTCACCTCGTTAGATAAAGGATGTAACAGTCACATTACTCTGTATTATGCCAGCAGGTGTGCAAGGAAGGACTAAATTATATAAGATAAGATAGATTTTAAATGTTCTTTTTACAGCAGCCCTGAAATTAAGTGGATGCAATTAGAGCCACCCTCTTACAACAATTGGATCCAAAAAGTAAGGGAACTATACCAAATAGAAAAAGATAACATATCTATTAATACTTAAAAAAATTACTTTTAAAGTACCATGGGGACTTGCAGAAGCCCTAGTCATGTAAAAGTACAAGTTTGGGGATTAGTTGGGGACACTTTAGCTCTGTCACCCAAGGTAGACCTTTCCTTTCAGGTCGTTTGGTGATGTTAAAACCAAATGGAACTGTAAAATGTTATGCTGAGATGTTTATTGAAAATCTGTATTGTGCTCAAACTTATATTTATGTGTGATGCATAGACTGTGCGAAATGCTTTGTTGCTATTAAAAATTTAATAAATATCTTAAGTTCTTAAAAAAAAGTATAATTTCCTCAAATGTTTGGGGTGGTCCTTGGTGTGACCAAAGATTAATCTATAGTGACCAAGGCCACCATTGGCCACCCTCTGGCTCCTCCATTGCACCTGGTGGTGGATAAAATGACTCCCTCCACTCACCAGAGTCTATCACTCTATGCCACAGGTGTCAAACGCCAGGCCTCGAGGGCACACCCCTGCTCTACGCTGACTCATAGGGAAAAAACAAAACCCTCTCTCTGTTCTTCTACACCAGGGGTGTCAAATCCACTTACAAAAGGAGGCCAAAATTAAAACCTGAGAACCTACACTGTGTCACTTCTACTCCATTGAATATCTTTACCAAACATATTAAGGCTTACTTTCATTCCCTGTTCAATTCCAGTCCAGTTAAACACTCAAATTCAAATCTACAAACATTCACTAATCAAATCCTTCAATGACGGGTGATATATCGGTGCACCGCTTGTTGGATCTGCAGCCCAGATAAAAGCGTGCGATTTGTCAAAATGTTAAGGCTTTCATGCTTGTGGTCAGATTAGAGGAGGGCTATGATATGGTTAAAAAAAAGATTGCATTTAGGATGTTCATACAAAATAAAAGGTGGTGTCTTTTTAGCACAGAACACTGTTCCCAGCCCTACATTTTAGAATGAATTCTGTTAATTTGGCACTGTCTGCTCTCCCACATGGGACATCAGAAATGAATATCTGAGTACAGGCTGTCAATTTTGTTAGTAATTTACTATCATAATAACATCATGGTATAAAATAAATGTGACCTGTGTTTGTTGGGCAGAACATGTCTCCACTGAGAGGGTGAAGCTGTTCCCTGAGCCCATTTCCTGTGCTCTCCTCGTCTCCGAGTGAGCAGGATGTTGGAGAGCCTTGTTGCCTGGGTGCTGAACACGTATCTGGGAAAATATGTCAGCAATCTGAACACGGATCAGCTCTCCGTGGCACTTCTCAAAGGTAACTGCTAATGTTTCTATTTATTAAAAAATACTTTTTTTTGCTTACTCTGTAGGATTTCCCTTTCATTAATTCCCTTTTGCTATTGTTTTATATGTAGCTGAAACTAGATGTTTATATGTACTGCATAAAAGACGCACCTTGTTCTTTGGACCCCATTGCTGAGAGAAAAGGTAGATTTGGAAATACCATCTATGTATGTTGTGAGAATAATAACTTTTAAAATATTGAGGTACAAACTTCTACTTTGGTGTGTGGCTGCATCTAGGCGTAAGAAAGGTTTATTTAAAAAATTGGGTTGCTATGTCAAAATATGTGTATAGTTGTCAACCTGATGATTTGGATAACATTGAAAGTAAACAATGTACCAACTTCCATTTTTGTGTGTGGCTGCATCTAGTTGTAAGAAAGGCCACCATTAGTAACCCCTAGGCTCCGTCATTGCACCTGGTGGGATATAAAACTGCTCCCTCCACTCCCCAGGATTCGTCACTTTGTGGCACCTCGGACAAGAAAAAACCCCAAAACTCACTCTGTTCTTCTACACAGTCTAACTCCTACCCACTTGGATGTCTTGCACCCAAAACATTGAGTTACTTGCATTCCTTCCAGTCCAGAAACACACATCTCCAAAACTAGAAACATGCACTATTGAAATGTCTCAGAGATGGGGGACATTGGCGTATAGATTGTTTTCTTTCATATTCATTGTTTGTTAATGCCTGAAGGATGGAAGATTCTGAGGCATGTCTGAAATACAAAATGATCAACTGAAAGAACAACCTCTAGGAGTGGCTACTATTCAGTAGCTTTCAACACCAGATGATCTGTGTTTTGATCCTGTATGCTCCACACTGGTTTGTCGTCATTATCTGCATTGTTTTTATGTCTATATTCTGATTTACCTCATTTTGTATTTTGCTTTGTGTGTTACCTGTTGTTTTGTCTGTACAGCACTTTGGTTGGCTTTGTAGCTGTTTTAAGTGCTTTATAAATAAAGTGGTATGGTATGGTATGAACTGTGTTATGTTATATGTTACACATGTTATATGTATTATATAAAGTTTGCCAGGTGTTGTGACATCTTTTGCAAAAACAAAACACTTTTTTTCACAAGTTTAACTGACTGTGAGTAACCAAAGGTGACAAGATTGACGAGATTTTAAACAGGACTTCAGCACCAACAAGATGCACAAGAGTCCAAAACTTGTATGTACAGTTTATGATCCTATTGAATGAAGATTGTTCTTACCCCTTCAGGTGCAGTGGAGCTGGAAAATTTGCCTCTGAGGAAAGATGCTCTTCGAGACTTTGACCTGCCATTTGAAGTCAAAGCAGGTAAAAACACTGACTTAAACAGGGCTCTGTCTCTGGAGTCCAAAAGCAAAGTATAATTTTAACTACTTGCACCAACAACTTTAAAGACTAATAATCTTTTTAGAAAGAAATTTGTTTATATTTCTCCCCTACTGAAATATTTCCTCTGGCTACCAGTCAAAAACAGAAACAAATTTAACTTGAATTACTTGTGTATCGAGTTAAATGTTTTTACTCTATGAAACTTCTTGGGCCGTTATATACTGGTGACATCACTCTGGTCCAAATCAGCTGAAGCTACTTTCTAATCTATATTATCATTATCCATAAAATGTGTTGCATCTCTTTAGGCTTCATTGGAAAGATCAGCCTACAGATCCCTTTCTACCGACCCCACAGTGACCCATGGGTCATTGCCATGTCCCAGCTCAACCTCATCGTTGGCCCCACCCAGCTGCAGGAGTATGATGGAGAGAAGGAGAGCGAGGAGGAGAAGGAACGCAAAAAAGTCTTCCTCCAGGCTCTCGAAGACAAATTCAAAGTATGTTCTGTGTTAGCCCTAGATTGGCATCACACTGTCAGGTTAAAAAAATGTTAAAAAACAAAAACTGTATCTATATCTGTATTAATATAGATGTATGTATGTATCTATAGATGTTTATACAGTATGTGTTTATATTAATATTTGTGAATGTGTGTGTATATAGGTATGTATATGTGTGTATTATGAATATAAGCAAATGAGTATCTGTAAGTATCAGTATGTACAGTGGTGCTTGAAAGTTTGTGAAACCTTGAGAATTTTCTATATTTCTTCATAAATTTGACCTAAAACTTCATCAAATTTTCACTAAAGTCCTAAAAGTAAATAAAAGAGAACCCAGTTAAACAAATGAGACAAAAATATTATACTTGGTCATTTATTTATTGAGGGAAATGATCCAGTGTTGCATATTTAAATATTTATTTATATACTTCAAATTCTGTATGTTGTGGTTTTAGTTTCAGAGAGGTCCATCCCAAAGATCCAGTCCCCGGCACAAACAGAATAATATTGTGTATGCTGTTCAGTGTCAGGAGGGTGATCAGTCTTACATCGAGGAAACTAAACAGCTACTGGCCAAAAGGATGGACCAGCACAGAAGCGCAACATCATCAGGCCAGGACTCTGTGGTTTATACTCATCTGCAGCCAGCGGTCACTCTTTCAGGGATGAAGATGTTCACATCCTTGATGGAGAGGAACGATGGTTTGAGAGAGGAGTAAAGGAGGCCATCTTTGTGAAAAGAAACTGTCCATCATTAAACGGGTGGAGGCCTCCGTGTCCAGCTGTCCCCCTCTTACAATGTTCTTATTGCTAGTATCACTCAGCCCCCTGTGAATAGCAAGTGGCCATCAGGGCACTAATGACCAATTGTTGGGCTGATGGTCCTTTTACATGTGAACAGCTAGTTCTGGACCTCCTCAGGGAGGAGGTCCTGCCCCAAGTGGAGGAGTTCAAGTATCTCTGGGTCTGGTTCATGAATGAGGGGAAAATGGAGTGAGAGATCGACAGGTGGATAGGTGCAGCGTCTGCAGTGAAGCGGGCGCTGTACAGGTCTGTCATGGTGAAAAGAGAGCTGAGTCAAAAGGCGAAGCTCTCAATTTACCGATTGATCTATGTTCCTACCCTCATCTATGGTCATGAGCTTTGGGTTGTGACTGAAAGAACGAGATCATGGATACAAGCGGCCAAAATGAGTTTTCTCCGCAGGGTGTCTGGGCTCTCCCTTAGAGTTAGGGTGAGAAGCTCGATCATCCGGGAGGGACTCAGAGTAGAGCCACTGCTTCTCCACGTCGAGAGGAGCCAGTTGAGGTGGCTCGGGCATCTGTTTAGGATGCCTCCTGGACACCTCCCTGGTGAGGTGTTCCGGACACGTCCCACCGGGAGGAGATCCAGAGGAAGACCCAGGACACTCTGGAGGGATTATGTTTCTCGGCTGGCCTGGGAGCGCATTGGGATTCCCCCGGAGGAGCTGGACCAAGTGGCTGGGGAGAGGGAAGTCTGGGCCTCCCTACTTAGGCTGCTACCCCCGCGACCTGACCCCGGATAAGAGGAAGAAAATGGATGGATGGATGGACAGCTAGTTCTGGATGTTACCAACAAACTGGTTGATCTACTATGAGAAGGGACCATTTATAAGACTGAGTTTGTTGCAGCTCCTCAGACAGATGAAAGCCTTTTGGATTAAAAACAAAACGTATCAACAAAGAAGAGTCTGTCCAGAGGACCTGACTTAACCTTGTTAGATTTATCTACCTGGATCATTGAGCATACATCAGGATATTTCTTCAGATATTGATCCCAAACTTATTATACTTAGTTGTTTTTGTTATGTTGAATTTTCTTTGTGTGTTGATTCACTTAATGATTTTTTTTTTAACTGATGTGCACCCATGTAAATCAAGATATTGGTATATGTTTCCCCTCCAGAATGAATGTGAACAGAGAGGCGAGCCATACTGGTATTCTGTCACTGCATCCCTCGTCACTAGGATTGTAGAAAACATTGAGGTAAGTCATACCTTAAGGATTATGATATTCAGGTGTTTGCTCTTTTTGTCCTCCGTTGTGAAGCAATGAGGGGGAATTGAAAGTACTCTGTCTATTAATGCTTGTGAGCATGATAAAATGAAAAGTGAGGAACTCATTTCCATTTTCGTGTGTGATGTCGGTGTACCACTTGTTTTACGTGACACTTCATTATAAGCTAATTGTTTTCTAGTCATTTTATAAATTAACCATCTGCTTTTTCTTCCCAATCATATTTATTATCTCAATTTTCACTAAATCATTTATAGCAAAAATAATATGGTGTTTATGCCTCAAATAATTAAGGTTAAATTGATTGTTTAGGCTGTTGAGCTGAATTTGCTCTCCACCTTTCTAGAGTATCTCATTTTCTGTTTTATTCAGAGTTTGAATTGTGATTGTTCTGCTATGTGTGCAGCTGAAGATTCAAAATGTCCACCTTCGATTTGAGGATGATGCTTCAAACTCAGAGACACCGTTTGCTTTCGGTGTTTGTATCAACAACGTAGCTGCTCAAAATCCCTCCAACGAGTCAGTAAGTGGACATACTTTAAACATTCAAATGAAAACATTTCTTTTCATCAAGAATATAGGTTTGTAGGAAGGGTTTTTTATGACAGCATGTAATAATAAAACTTCTTATGTCAGAGAATCACTCATTCTGTTTGTTTTTCGTGCTGTAAGGAAAATCTTGCTTTGTTAGCTTTTGCCATCATGGTTTATATTGATTTCTTTAAAAAGTGGAAATTATTCCCCTTAAATCATCAAAAAAATGACGGAGCACTATCGCCCCACCTGGGTAAGAGACACTGAAAACATGTTTACAGTGTATAAAAAGACGTGAGCACTGCCTTTAGCTTTTTAGGCGCTGCTAGCTTGGAGCAGTGGTTCTCAAACTGGGGTCCCCGGACTCCTGGGGGTCCGCGGGCTGGTGCTTGGGGGTCCCCCCCACCAAAAATGTATATATTTTTTTACAAGCAGGTAGATAAAGTTTAACAACCCATTAAAATACACTAAAATGTAGGAAACCACAGCTACGAAAGAGATCTGATGTTTAATAATCCACATTTAATAATATTATTTTGTTCTGGTAAGGTAACTGTTTATTTTAATAACATTTTATTACCAGTATTCATATATTTAGAATAGATTTTTTTATTTTTTTTTATTTGGGCTGTGGGTGAGTTGGCACTGTTTCAATCAGGGTTTGGGTGGGTAAAAGAGGAGAAGCAGCAGAGAGGTGTGGAAGACCAACTCTGCTTCCTGGACAGAACCTTGGATTGTCAAATCATTTGGATCACTAACAAAGTCTGACAAGTCTCTTGAGAGAAGAGTGGGCTCCACCCAAAGTGAGATGGATGCCATCTCTCTGCATCAGGCCAGGTTTTCCTGAGAAAGCACTTCAGTTATCTAAAGATAAATAATACATTTATTTGTGTAGGATTTTATGTATGGGTGTTTTTTTAATATGCATTTGTTTGTCTGCACATGTATATCTGTGGGTGAGTATGTGTGCATTTGTGTTTTTGTGCATGTATACACAGGTGTGTGTGTGTGTGTGTGTGTGTGTAATCACATCGTAATATTTTATTTTCTGAAGGTACAGAAGCTTGTTCGGCAAAAGCAGCTGGAGATTAAAGACTTCAGTGTCTACTGGGATACAGAGAGTGAGATGCTTGGGAGGCTGCCTGCAAGTCAGATTCAGGTCAGTATATTGTAACTGTATCTAGACTTTCTGACATTTTATAGAGGCTGTATACTCTTCTTCTTTGGTGACTTGTGAAGATAGATGGTTGCACTGGATTTGAGTTAGGGCCACTTTTTTATTTTTTTATTTCTTTTGGTTTTATGCAGCCTAAGTTGAACATATTTAGATATTTCATACCACTTTGTAAAAAAAATGTTTAAAAAACATACCATTTTCTTTCTACTGCTCAAATATGTTCTAATTTTTGTTGGTTTATCACATAAATTCCCTGTAGAATTGATTGAAATTTGTGTTTGTATTGTGACACAAAGTGTAAAAGTTTATATGAATCCTCTTTCAAGATGTTGGTTCAGAATGAGATGCATTTCTTTCAGTCATCTTCTCTGACTTGTCCCTGTGCAGGATGCAATGACCCAGTGTATGCAGAGTCGTGAGCATCAGTACATCTTTGAACCTGTGTGTGCGTCTGTGCTGCTGAAACGAAACGCTTCTAAGGAGCCTTTGAGGTCTCGATACCCCCCCCGAATCGAAGGCCAGGTTCAGCTGGACCCCATGTTTTTACGTCTTTCCCAGGTTTGTTAGAAAATAAGTTGCTCATCTTTGTCAATAAGCTGACGGATGTAGAAATGTTTCTAGTCTCTGACAAGGAAAGAAAAAGCAAGCCTGAACTGTTAAACTAGTAACACGTTTAAAAGTAATGTTTTCATATAGTTTTGTATAAAATTGACTGGAAAACCTGGGAGCATTCAGGTTTGTGTTATTTTAACAGTGGGGAACCCTTTGGGTCGTCAATGCCTTCAGAGAAGTTCAACGAATTCAGCACTTATGAAATTTTACATTTAAAATGGTAGTTTAATATTTATTTCATACAAATATTTTCAAAGTAGTTTTTCATATTTTTTCCAATTGTTCCTATTTTTTTTACTCTAAAACCTACTTTGCAATTGATCAGAATTAATTTACTTTATGAAAATATGGTTTTCCAATCAGATTTTTTTTTATTTTTCTCTATGCAGAAACAGAATTCAACAAAACTTTTCTACAGACGTTTAAAGGTTCAAAGGTCAAGGCTTCTTAACATAAAATGGTATGCAGGTAGTGAGAGCACTTTGCACATGCTAAATGCCAAAAACAAAACCTGAAGATTCTCAAAACTTTAATGAACAGGCTTTTTTGCGAGACCTGGCACTTGTACAATGGTAAAGAATTGGTTTCATCCCTAACATTGACGATGCCTGGTCGTTGTACATAACTTCATTCTCCGACGTTGAAACTGAAATCCAGAGGTGATCGGTCGTTTGCGGTTGCTGCTCCAAAACTGTGGAACAGTTTACCAGAGAATTTAAAGACCGCTCAGACTGTTGAGACTTGTAAATCTTCGCTGAAGACTCATCTGTATTCCTTGGCATTTGATCCACGTAGAGTCTGTGAACAAATTTTGAGCTGATTTTATTGTTGTTGTGTATTTACCGTTAACTTTCTTACGTTTTTGAGTGGCACTAGATGCATTTTTTACTCTTTTTATCTGTCTTAACTGTTAAGCACTTAGGTCAGCTTTTGCTGTTTTTATGTGCTATATAAATAAATTGACATTGATGTTCTAAACAAACACGCACCCTTAAAACCCCTCAGAATTATAAAAGGTCTCAGTCCCTGGTTCAGCCCTGACCTGTCCAAGCTTATTTAACGTAAACATCACCTGTGGCGAAGAGTGACCTAAAAGTTGCCCCTTTGTTAGCTATAAGAAGATGAAAATTGAGGTCCAAAACAATTGTATAACACCGAACACTAATTACTGGTACATGGAACAAGATTAAGACATATTTTAAACTGAAGGATCACTTCTCCTTGCTAGCCCCTGTATGGAGTAACCCTGATTTCCCACCTTCATATCAGGACCCAGTGTTCAAATTGTGGCGAGATAAGGGTCTAGATCAGTGGTTCCCAACCTATTTTCCTCAAAGACCCCCCCGTCTTACTTCCTAGCCAATCCCCCCAATCCCTCGCTACTCCCCTCTCCCAAAAGACTCAATCAGATTTTTAAAAAAAATTTTTTTTTCATTTAGCCTTTATTTATCCAGGTAGTCTCATTGAGCCACGAGAACTCGTTTTCAAGAGAGACCTGTTTAGGGAGCAGATGGGGGTTAAGGGCCTTGCTCATGGGCCCAGAGTGGGGCGAATGAGGGTGGGGGCAGGTGTGGGCGCTTCACCTACTCCACCCGCATTTTGGATGTTGTCTGTACTGGGGCTTGAACCGGCGATCTTCCGATCACAGGCCCACCTTCTCTAACCTCTGCGCCACCACTCCTCCCATTAGAGATTAAGGGATTAATCTCTTCGTCAAAGTGATAAAAGAATAAAGTAAATATTAGAATTAATGTTATAAGTAATAGTAGTTAAATATAGAATAAAGTAAATAATAAAAGCATAAAGTAAATAGTTACAAACTTATTTGTAAAAGGTATAAACTGGTACACAAAGTTTGTTTTCTCAGTTATCCAGGTATATAACAACAAAAAAGGTTGAATCATGTCATCTGGACTTCGTTTTACCTGGATGACTGAGAAAACAAACTTTGTGTTTTTGAAACCATTAGTGAAAAGGCCAGACTTCAGGGGTATCTGAGGCAGGCTTGAAACACAAGAGTCAGGGTGGCTTCTGGGTAATACCAGATGGCTAGGCCTCAGACTGACGAAGCCTCTTGGATGAGGGGCGAAACGTTTCTTTTTAACAAAAAAAACGAAGTCCAGATGACATGATTCAACCTTTTTTGTTGTTA